AAATTTGGCTTTTTATTTACATGTATTTCCTAACATAAAAATGGATGATTTTTGCCTAAATCTGCCAAAATGTGGGTGTTTGAATATTGATTCATGCTCCCCTCGTCTCCAGAGGTATTTCTGCGTTGTTTGGAGAAAAGTCAATTTTTGGCCAAATTTGGTTAAAAATGTAAGGCTAACCCCTTGTATTTTTTTCAATTTTGGCCAAAAAATGAAATTCCTTGAAACTTGCAGGAAAGATGCCTAAGGTAACCCTGAACACATTCCAATAAGATTTGGGAACAGATGTGCCTTTGAAAAGAAAATTTGGCCGAAATTTTGGGGTAAAACAGTCAAAATTTGGCTTTTTATTTACATGTATTTCCTAACATAAAAATGGATGATTTTTGCCTAAATCTGCCAAAATGTGGGTGTTTGAATATTGATTCATGCTCCCCTCGTCTCCAGAGGTATTTCTGCGTTGTTTGGAGAAAAGTCAATTTTTGGCCAAATTTGGTTAAAAATGTAAGGCTAACCCCTTGTATTTTTTTCAATTTTGGCCAAAAAATGAAATTCCTTGAAACTTGCAGGAAAGATGCCTAAGGTAACCCAGAACACATTCCAATTCGATTTGGGAACAGATGTGCCTTTGAAAAGAAAATTTGGCCGAAATTTGGGGTAAAACAGTCAAAATTTGGCTTTTTATTTACATGTATTTCCTAACATAAAAATGGATGATTTTTGCCTAAATCTGCCAAAATGTGGGTGTTTGAATATTGATTCATGCTCCCCTCGTCTCCAGAGGTATTTCTGCGTTGTTTGGAGAAAAGTCAATTTTTGGCCAAATTTGGTTAAAAATGTAAGGCTAACCCCTTGTATTTTTTTCAATTTTGCCAAAAAATGAAATTCCTTGAAACTTGCAGGAAAGATGCCTAAGGTTACCCTGAACACATTCCAATTAGATTTGGGAACAGTTGTGCCTTTGAAAAGAAAATTTGGCCGAAATTTGGGGTAAAACAGTCAAAATTTGTCTTTTTATTTACATGTATTTCCTAACATAAAAATGGATAATTTTTGCCTAAATCTGCCAAAATGTGGGTGTTTGAATATTGATTCATGCTCCCCTCGTCTCCAGAGGTATTTCTGCGTTGTTTGGAGAAAAGTCAATTTTTGGCCAAATTTGGTAAAAAATGTAAGGCTAACCCCTTGTATTTTTTTCAATTTTGGCCAAAAAATGAAATTCCTTGAAATTTGCTGGAAAGATGCCTAAGGTAACCCTGAACACATTCCAATTCGATTTGGGAACAGATGTGCCTTTGAAAAGAAAATTTGGCCGAAATTTTGGGGTAAAACAGTCAAAATTTGGCTTTTTATTTACATGTATTTCCTAACATAAAAATGGATGATTTTTGCCTAAATCTGCCAAAATGTGGGTGTTTGAATATTGATTCATGCTCCCCTCGTCTCCAGAGGTATTTCTGCGTTGTTTGGAGAAAAGTCAATTTTTGGCCAAATTTGGTTAAAAATGTAAGGCTAACCCCTTGTATTTTTTTCAATTTTGGCCAAAAAATGAAATTCCTTGAAACTTGCAGGAAAGATGCCTAAGGTAACCCTGAACACATTCCAATTAGATTTGGGAACAGATGTGCCTTTGAAAAGAAAATTTGGCCGAAATTTTGGGGTAAAACAGTCAAAATTTGGCTTTTTATTTACATGTATTTCCTAACATAAAAATGGATGATTTTTGCCTAAATCTGCCAAAATGTGGGTGTTTGAATATTGATTCATGCTCCCCTCGTCTCCAGAGGTATTTCTGCGTTGTTTGGAGAAAAGTCAATTTTTGGCCAAATTTGGTTAAAAATGTAAGGCTAACCCCTTGTATTTTTTTCAATTTTGGCCAAAAAATGAAATTCCTTGAAACTTATAGGAAAGATGCCTAAGGTTACCCTGAACACATTCCAATTAGATTTGGGAACAGTTGTGCCTTTGAAAAGAAAATTTGGCCGAAATTTGGGGTAAAACAGTCAAAATTTGTCTTTTTATTTACATGTATTTCCTAACACAAAAATGGATAATTTTTGCCTAAATCTGCCAAAATGTGGGTGTTTGAATATTGATTCATGCTCCCCTCGTCTCCAGAGGTATTTCTGCGTTGTTTGGAGAAAAGTCAATTTTTGGCCAAATTTGGTTAAAAATGTAAGGCTAACCCCTTGTATTTTTTTCAATTTTGGCCAAAAAATGAAATTCCTTGAAATTTGCTGGAAAGATGCCTAAGGTAACCCTGAACACATTCCAATTCGATTTGGGAACAGATGTGCCTTCGAAAAGAAAATTTGGCCGAAATTTTGGGGTAAAACAGTCAAAATTTGGCTTTTTATTTACATGTATTTCCTAACATAAAAATGGATGATTTTTGCCTAAATCTGCCAAAATGTGGGTGTTTGAATATTGATTCATGCTCCCCTCGTCTCCAGAGGTATTTCTGCGTTGTTTGAAGAAAAGTCAATTTTTGGCCAAATTTGGTTAAAAATGTAAGGCTAACCCCTTGTATTTTTTTCAATTTTGGCCAAAAAATGAAATTCCTTGAAACTTGCAGGAAAGATGCCTAAGGTAACCCTGAACACATTCCAATTAGATTTGGGAACAGATATGCCTTTGAAAAGAAAATTTGGCCGAAATTTGGGGTAAAACAGTCAAAATTTGGCTTTTTATTTACATGTATTTCCTAACATAAAAATGGATGATTTTTGCCTAAATCTGCCAAAATGTGGGTGTTTGAATACTGATTCATGCTCCCCTCGTCTCCAGAGGTATTTCTGCGTTGTTTGGAGAAAAGTCAATTTTTGGCCAAATTTGGTTAAAAATGTAAGGCTAACCCCTTGTATTTTTTTCAATTTTGGCCAAAAAATGAAATTCCTTGAAATTTGCTGGAAAGATGCCTAAGGTAACCCTGAACAGATTCCAATTCGATTTGGGATCAGATGTGCCTTTGAAAAGAAAATTTGGCCGAATTTTGGGGTAAAACAGTCAAAATTTGGCTTTTTATTTACATGTATTTCCTACCATAAAAATGGATGATTTTTGCCTAAATCTGCCAAAATGTGGGTGTTTGAATATTGATTCATGCTCCCCTCGTCTCCAGAGGTATTTCTGCGTAGTTTGGAGAAAAGTCAATTTTTGGCCAAATTTGGTGAAAAATGTAAGGCTAACCCTTGTATTTTTTTCAATTTTGGCCAAAAAATGAAATTCCTTGAAACTTGCAGGAAAGATGCCTAAGGTAACCCTGAACATATTCCAATTAGATTTGGGAACAGTTGTGCCTTTGAAAAGAAAATTTGGCCGAAATTTGGGGTAAAACAGTCAAAATTTGGCTTTTTATTTACATGTATTTCCTAACATAAAAATGGATAATTTTTACCTAAATCTGCCAAAATGTGGGTGTTTGAATATTGATTCATGCTCCCCTCGTCTCCAGAGGTATTTCTGCGTTGTTTGGAGAAAAGTCAATTTTTGGCCAAATTTGGTGAAAAATGTAAGGCTAACCCTTGTATTTTTTTCAATTTTGGCCAAAAAATGAAATTCCTTGAAACTTGCAGGAAAGATGCCTAAGGTAACCCTGAACACATTCCAATTAGATTTGGGAACAGATGTGCCTTTGAAAAGAAAATTTGGCCGAAATTTGGGGTAAAACAGTCAAAATTTGGCTTTTTATTTACATGTATTTCCTACCATAAAAATGGATGATTTTTGTCTAAATCTGCCAAAATGTGGGTGTTTGAATATTGATTCATGCTCCCCTCGTCTCCAGAGGTATTTCTGCGTTGTTTGGAGAAAAGTCAATTTTTGGCCAAATTTGGTTAAAAATGTAAGGCTAACCCCTTGTATTTTTTTTAATTTTGGCCAAAAAATGAAATTCCTTGAAACTTGCAGGAAAGATGCCTAAGGTAACCCTGAACACATTCCAATTCGATTTGGGAACAGATGTGCCTTTGAAAAGAAAATTTGGCCGAAATTTTGGGGTAAAACAGTCAAAATTTGTCTTTTTATTTACATGTATTTCCTAACATAAAAATGGATAATATTTGCCTAAATCTGCCAAAAGTGGGTGTTTGAATATTGATTCATGCTCCCCTCGTCTCCAGAGGTATTTCTGCGTTGTTTGGAGAAAAGTCAATTTTTGGCCGAATTTGGTGAAAAATGTAAGGCTAACCCCTTGTATTTTTTTCAATTTTGGCCAAAAAATGAAATTCCTTGAAACTTGCTGGAAAGATGCCTAAGGTAACCCTGAACACATTCCAATGCGATTTGGGAACAGATGTGCCTTTGAAAAAAAAATTTGGCCGAAATTTGGGGTAAAACAGTCAAAATTTGGCTTTTTATTTACATGTATTTCCTACCATAAAAATGGATAATTTTTGCCTAAATCTGCCAAAATGTGGGTGTTTGAATATTGATTCATGCTCCCCTCGTCTCCAGAGGTATTTCTGCGTTGTTTGGAGAAAAGTCAATTTTTGGCCAAATTTGGTGAAAAATGCTTGTATTTTTTTCAATTTTGGCCAAAAAATGAAATTCCTTGAAACTTGCTGGAAAGATGCCTAAGGTAACCCTGAACACATTCCAATTCGATTTGGGAACTTATAAAGAAAATTTGGCCGAAATTTGGGGTAAAACAGTCAAAATTTGGCTTTTTATTTACATGTATTTCCTAACATAAAAATGGATGATTTTTGCCTAAATCTGCCAAAATGTGGGTGTTTGAATATTGATTCATGCTCCCCTCGTCTCCAGAGGTATTTCTGCGTTGTTTTTGAGAAAAGTCAATTTTTGGCCAAATTTGGTGAAAAATGTAAGGCTAACGCCTTGTATTTTTTTTGAATTTTGGCCAAAAAATGAAATTTCTTGAAACTTGCTGGAAAGATGCCTAAGGTAACCCTGAACACATTCCAATTCGATATGGGAACAGATGTGCCTTTAAAAAGAAAATTTGGCCGAAATTTTGGGTGAAAACAGTCAAAAAAATGTAAAGTACAATTTTTTATGTTTATTTTGGCCATTTTTAATGATTAAGTTATCAATTAAGTCATTTTTGTTAACATAAAGTACCATCTTACAAATCACAGCTCGCCTGATCAACATGTATTACATCACTCCTTGTTCAGTCAAATTCATACATGTTTACAGCTTTTGTACAGTACAATAAATTGATATAATACATTGATAGGTATCTATACACTTATAAATATTGATTTCCTACTATATAATGACAAATTAATTAAGACAAAGAAGGATTTTACCTACAAAGAAAGCAATTGTCCATCTAGAATTGTTCCTTATCTTAGATGGTAAGGCTTAAAAATATGCATGTATTTGCACTTACATGTATAGCTTGGGAAACCCCAGCTCCAATGCTCATTGCTTGCAGCTATCTGTGTTGTGGCGAAATTTGAAATCACAATACAGATTTCAAACTAGTCTGGTAATCACATCGTGTCTCCATTCAGTGCGGTGTATGTCTCCATGCAGTGGGGTGTATGAAGTTACCAGACTAGTTTCAGATGCGCGCTGTATATTTAGCCATAACACGGCTGCAATGCAACGGTTCTATCTGAAAAGACATTGCAATCATCAATTTTGTTCATATTTTAGTCAGTATGGTTTGTTTCAAGTCGATCCTTTGCTTCATGAATGACTGCTGCATGGTTTTAAGTGAGTTTAATCTCAACTGGGTTCGGATAATGGGAAAAGGGACTATTTTAGTTTAGGCCAAATTTCGCGGCCTCCGGCTTCTTTGATTGGCAGGCCTTCGTTGATGATGCTTTGCCATTGGTTATCATTTTATAAGCACAGCATACTCAGTGCAGTCTCAGAGCTAAAAAGAAATTGTCAAGATTACTAGGGTGGAACGTGAACCAATGACCTCCTGCAATGACTATCGCACTTGCCAGTATCAGCTTGACATAGTAGAGGGTTGCACAATCAGTGAACGTATGATAAACAAATTGCATCTCCTGATGCAACATTCCATTGTACAAGTTATAAAGGGACAATATGACATCCATGTACTGGCCATACATTACACATGTATCAGATTAGATATGACTAGCTGAATCAATCTTAGTTTCTATACAGAATTGTAATAAACTTGATTCCATCAAATCAGAGGCGACAAGTATTCCTGGACTTGTCTTTGAATTATCTTCCACAACAGAATGTCTGCAATGTTTCTAATGTTAAACATGATGCCATTTATCTGTCTGATTGCAGTCAGAGAATGTGGTCTGAATACAAAACAAAAAATTAACGGGACATGACAAGATGTTTACAGCATTCCTCTGAAATGAATGAAAACCAAGAGTCACCCCTTTTTGGTTAATTTCTGCAAAGTGCTTTTTTTAAACAAGTAAATAATTTCATGCTTTACCTGACAACAGAGGGCGCTTTTGCTGTGATGTCACTTTAGGAATCTGTAAAGGGGCTTTCTGTTCCAATTGGGAACCCAACATTTTCTTCCTTAGAAGTTTTCTAGGGGCTCTATAATCTTTTAAAGTGAAATCTGAGATAAAACGCCAAGGTTTGAAACTTCCCATGGACAACCCTCTTCTCTCAGTGCTCCATTTGTTCCTCCCCTTCCCTCGCCCCTTTCCTCTCCCCGTCCGTCGTCTTGCCCCCCTCCTGCTCGTCCTCTGAGCTCAGTACATCCTCCTCCGTGTCATCGCTGCCGGATGACTCGCCCTGATTCCGGGGCCAGGATTCGTCCAGCCCCTCCCCAGGGCCCAAGACGGTGAGGAGTTCCTCCGTGTGCATCAGGACCTGCTCGTCATCGCACTTGATCTTCTGATACAACTGGATGACAGAAAGAAAATACGACAATTAAGGAGCTAGCTTGGTTGTCAACGGTGCTTTTGTACCACTTTTCAAATCTCTAAATATGCGGAGTATGCACAACAAAACATATTTTGAGTGTGCACTAATCCACGGCTTCTTCACGTGAGTGTCAGACGCCGATGGCTGTGCGTTTGAATGTCACTTCCATTGGTCTGCCCCAACTCTCCATTGGCAACCGTTGAGGGGGTACTTGTGCACAGAGCTCATTATAGTTATTTGGTTGAAACAATAAATTTAATATAGACCTAAACCGCATGTCTTTTTCTTTAGTTTCCGAACCACAGCAAAACAACTATGCCACCCTTTACATGTCTAAATGGAATATTATTTTTGTTATATTAATCGTCCACTGATGAGTGTTTTATGTCAGATTTTCTCTTGATTTAAAAAAAATGATTTGTGACTTGGACTTGACGTTTGTGATGCATGACTCAATTCAACCCACTATTGGGTTGGGATGCTGACTCAGGCTTGATAGTGAGGACTCAGACTTGGACTCGGTCTTGATAGAGAAGACTAGGACTCTGACTCGATAGCTAGGACTCGGACTTGAACTTGAAAGTAAGGACTTGGCCTCTGACTCGACAGTGAAGACTCAGACTCGGTCCGAGTTGACGCATCAGAAGGCCCTACCTTCTTGGCCATATTCAGGAAGAATCTTGCGGGTGCTTTATGCTCCTCCCCGGTCTTCTCCACATTCATCAGGCCCAGCATGTACCAGACCTGCACCACCTGGTCATCCTCCTGAAGCAATCCTTCCAAGATCTCCTCCGCTTGCTGAAACGACAAAATAAGACATGTGCTTTCTGTTTGTCCACGTCTTAGCGATCCCGACATCATACAGGAAGAATGCAAAATGAAACAAGTCGTACCTCGAGGTTCAAACCTGAGGAACCCAGTTAAACCCTGTGGAATCTTGTAAAACCTCGAGGTCAACCCAGAGTTACCGCCTCCTTAAGTTTGCATTCTCCCCTGATCTTGTTACTGAATCTTTTTAGAGTAATACCTTGTGTCCAATTGTGTCCACTCCCATCAATGACTAATCATACATGAACCTGTTAAACACTTTGTCCAAGGCCCGCTTGTCAGAAACCCCAAAACTGCATGTGCCATGTGACAAGGCATTGCTTCCAAAGTCACTATGCTGTCAATACTAGCGATGCTGTAAATCTGGGAAATTTTAAGCAATAATCAACAAGTTTTAAGGAAAATATGTGCTTACTTCATTCATTTCCAGCTCCATCAGGATTTTAGCTGTTCCAATGCGATTCTGGTAGTTCAGTGGGCAGGGGTTGATGGGGTCAAGGGTCGGACCGTCCATGTTGACTTCCTCCTCTTCTAGGGCCTTCATCTTGGGTAACCATAGCGACAGGCTCTTCTCAATGGATTTCTTGGCTTGCTAAGAGACAACGCCAAGATAGAAAGGGCCATGTTAAGGCAAGTTTATATTCAACACGGAACCGAACACAAGTTTGTGACACCATGGCAAATATTTTTGCTGTAAATTTTTAAACAATATTTGTAAAACACACAAATTTGCAGCAAATAAATGTATTGTGTTATCACGTAAATTGAAGCTCTTCACATTCATAGACCATGTGACAACTTTTCTGAAACAGGATGATATGGTCAGGTACATGTGATGCCAACATTCAACAAACTACATGTACATGTAAGTTTTTAGTGTGCTAAATTTCAAGATTTTATGTAGTCATTTTGGCACCTTGTTTTCACATGCAAAATGCAAGTGGTATTGTGAGTTTTTAATTGTTTTACGACAGAGAGAAACGCTCATATTCTATGCCAAAAGAGTTTTCAGTTCTCAAAGACATGCATTTTTATCAGTGTAACTAAAAGAGATGACATTTGTTCATTAAAACTCACAAAACTTTAAATGATTTTGCTAATGGCTGTGTTATTAAGTCCTGGTCAGATGTATTGATGGTACGAAAATGGAGAATTGATAGCCACGCATGTTGATATAGAAGCTCAAAGAGCAGTGCTACATTGCTTAAAATGTATCCAAACTAATCATGAAATTAATTGCCCTAAGGGTTATATTAAACCCGAGAATAAGCCACAGCCATATCTAAACATGTTGACATCGGTCTAATTCCCTACCTCTTTGTCTTCCTTACTCAGCCAGTAGCTGGCCAGGATCTGGTAAGCCTCAGCACTGTCGCTGTCTGCATCAATGGCTTTGTCTATGTACTCTTTGCACTTCTGTTCGGCATCTTCGGCAAAACTAAGAGCAATGTAAAATAAAACAAGATACTTCTGACGTAAAATAGAACAAGATACTTATGACGTAAAATAGAACAAGGCAATTATGAAAATTCTACAAGCAAATTTAAAAAAAAACAAGAGCCTGATAATTACCGCATGACTGAATCAAGTACACATAAAACAAACAGGTTTTTCAAACATTTTCACCATAAATGTAAGATGCTACATGTATGTGGACTTATGTGACCTACACCTTTAAACTATAGCTGGTAAATAATATGAGAAACTATAGCAAGGAAACAAAATGAAACGCTAAACTTTCTGGCGATCTGCAATAGTTTCATCATTGCACACCGTGTTGAATTTTCATAAATAAAAAATGAACCACTCATTCACAAAAAAGAGGCTTTGTACCATGAGTCCGTGAGGTAAATTTCAGCCATGGAGCAATAGGCCCTTGCAATATCCCCGTCAGTCACTCGATCAGTTGAAGAATTGTTGTCAGCGCAGGCTGCTTCGGGCTGTCAACGATAAGCAGAACAAAAAAATATAATAATCTGCAAAAAAACTAGAAAATTATCATTAAAGCACGACGAAATCAAAACAGAGAAAGGGAATTCTAAACTTAACCACCCGCGAGTTTTTTTTTTTCCCTAGAATCAATCACTTTCTTCTCAGTGGAAAGTGTCTTGTGAAAACACAAGTTAAAAAAAAACAACGAAAAAAAACCCAGGAAAATTAGCATTAAAGCAAAACAAAATAAAAACACAGAAAGGAAATTCTAAACTTAACCTTCCAAGATGTCTTTGTCCCCTCAGATCAATCACTTTCTTCTGAAAGTGTCTCGTGAAAACGCGAGTAAAAAAAATGGAAAATCGGTCCCCAAGGGCGAAACAAAGGAGACAATTTCCTCGCTTGTTTACAGGAATGGAAGCAGGATCCACAAGACACAAACAAAGAACATCCAGGGGGAATCTCAACAGATTCTACCAGGGGAATATTGCTCGACTAATCTAGTCCATAATTATCCCTACAGCTAAATCTTAAAGGATGGACACATTTGATACAATGTATTACATATGCCTGGAGCTTGTTTATCAAAACCTGCTTTTTGCCTCAAGTTATTCATGAGATCTTACTAGCATTTCCCCATTCTGTTTCCTGTCTTTGCCGTGCACAATAAAAGACTGACTGTGGTGACAAACACACTTTTTGTACAATTGTGGCAAAAAGATGTCATTAAAGGAAACAATTTCATTTCCAAAGATTCTGACAATTTTTGACAACCCAGACTGTATGATTTTGATATTACAAATGTTCTAAGGGAAATAAACACTATTTAAATTCATGAAAGACCTCACCACTGAAATCAAAACACTCAAAATTGTTAAAAATAGCTTCTATTTCTAAGTTGTAAACATAATCATCTTCCGTATACATAACAAGAGCATGCACTGACGCATATTAAGCAATCACAATCAGGGTTTCGGATATAATTCCATCCCAAGAGTTTTAATTCCACTTTCGATTTTGGGGTTAAATTCTAAGTTTACTTGGAACAACATCCTGTTTTCAACGACATTATAATTTCATGAGGCAAGATCTTGTTTGATGTCAATTCCCCAAACACTTTTTTTCTGACAAGCGATAATTTAAATAGAATTTCCCCTGATCAATTGAAATGCAAAGAGAATTCTACTGATTCTAATTTTGTGTCTGTGGTTTATTTTTTTTTTGGGGGGGGGGATTTCGGATAAGAAATGGGGATTCTTCCTGAAAGTATACATAAGATTGCATTTTCCCCCACAAAATCTGACACCTTTTACAGTACATACACAGCCTATGTATCAGAGAAATAATCACAAACTCATAGTAAAATTTGAAGGATATACATGTACATGTAGCGTACAATCTACAATGACACTATCCAAATGACTAACAAGTTAATGAGTAGTAGGGGAGGTGGGGGAACCGGAGCAAAATGGAAAAAATCTGCGGCAAGCCTGAGCACGCCGCTCTCGATTCTAAAAATAGTTGGGGAAAAATATAGGGGAATCCCCCGATCTCAAAAAAAAAAATCTGACGCCGGGTGTGGGGAGAAAAAAAAAAAAAAAAAAAAAAAATCTGACGCCGAGAGAGAGAGAGAGAGAGAGAGAGAAAAATATATCTCTGACGTCGGGAGAAAAAAAAAAAAAAAAAAAAAAAAAAAAAATCCTGACGCCGGGAGAGAGAAAAAAAAAAAAAAAAAAAAAAAAAAAAATCTGACGCCGGGAGAGAAAAAAAAAAAAAAAAATCCTGACGCCGGGTTTGGGAGAGAGAGAGAGAAAAAAAAAAAAATCTGACTCCGGGAGAGAGAAAAAAAAAAAAAAAATCTGACGTCGCTAAAATGAGATGATGTCACCACCACGCGACCTTGAAAAATGTGTGAGTCACCACCACGTGACCTTGGGAATTTTTACTACAGTCAAGCTCTCATGGTTTATGAAATAATTGATCGCCCTCCAAAAAAAAATGAGAAAAAAAATATTATATTTCTTATAATAAAATGGAGAGTAATATGTTCAGACCGACCGTCAAAGGATATTCTAAATGGAACAAAGCTACGCTGCGTGATTACGTGCAGCGGTATAATATACCGCACAATGAAAATGTTTCTCTTACTCGTAAAGTCTACATCGAGGGGATAAAAAATTATGAAAGTCAATTTAAAAACTTGAGGAAAAAGAAACTTTATGAGCTCAAACAGATTGTAGACGAACAAAATCTAGAATACGTACCGACGGGTTATAAAGGACGAGTTTTGAAAAAAGATTTACTCTCGGCGATTAAAACATACAGACAACCCGAATACTTTACAGAGTCAGCTTTTAGAGAAACGAGAAGGTTTAGAAATTACTACAGAAACTGGGAATTAAATCCCAGACTTTATAACCACGATTTAATCAAGTTTTTTGATTCGCACAAGGAACAAATAGTCAATAAAATCAAGTCTGAATTGAGAGAGCTCAGAGGTTTAAAAGTAGAGCTTGTATTAAAAATAAGGTATCGAAAAATCAAACCGGATGGTACAATCGAAACGATCGAAGCTATTCATTATAGCAAACCGAAAGCCGTTTTAAATCAAAGTCAAATAAAACAGGTTTTAAAAGAGGAGATCGAAGAGCTATTCAAAAAGGATGAAAGGTATACGAATCAAGGATCGGGTTGGGCAGTCGATACAATACTCGCGTTATACATCAACATCAACAGATATAATCCAGCGAGAGGTAGTTCTTACATAAACCTACCCGAACATCTTAAAATTAAACAGGCGATGATCAACGTACAAAACAAAGACGACGAGTGTTTGAGATGGTGTTTGAGATCTGCCTTGGGGTTATACACGGACAAAGTAAAAAATCAAATAAGAAATAATCCTAAATATAAAATCAACGAAAGCAGACCGTCGATTTACACCAAAGACGACGGACTCAGTTTTAAAGGCGTTGACTTTCCGACACCGGTCGATCAGATACCCAAGATAGAAAGACAAAATAATTTATCGATAAACGTATACGGTTATGAGGGTGAGATATATCCATTATACGTGTCTAAAAACTATGGGTCACGAGAGATTGATCTGCTTTTGATTTCTAAAGGTGACAAGCATCACTATTGTTGGATAAAATATTTTACGAGGTTGATGTACGACGTTACGAAACATAAATGTAAGAAATATTTTTGTCGAAGATGTCTATGTCATTTTACCAATCAAAACAAATTAGACAGACATATCGCCGATTGTAAGGGTATAGATGCGCATCCATCAAAGATTGTATTTCCTCTGGGTAAACCAAAATACATAGACGGGCAACCAGGCGAAAGAGACGTACCGATATTAGAATTTAAAAACTATAGGCACAAACAAAAAGCACCATTTGTCATTTATGCTGACTTTGAATCCATACTACAAACAACAACACCCACAGATAAAGAGACAAACACAAAAAAGATTAACGTTCACAAAGCTAGCGGTTATTCGCTAGTTGTCGTTCGATGCGACGCTAAAAATGTGTATCAAGAGACTTATAGAGGCAAAGACGCTTCAACTAGATTTATAACGACGCTGTTACAATTACAAAGCGATATTAATTGCATATTTGAAAAACCCCAAACCATGAAATTTAACGAGCGAGCTAAAGACCATCACGATACAACAAACACGTGTTGGATTTGCGAAAAACCAATTTATCCCAATTACTCGAGCAACTGTCAGTGCCAGAAACCCAGGGAACCCAAGACGATAAAACAAAAGAAAGAATATCAGTACAAAAATAGTAAGGGATTTATCGAGTCTAAATGTCTCGACTGTAAAAAGAGCATTAATAAATTTAGAAAGGTGAGAGATCACTGCCACGTCACTGGTAAATATAGGGGTGCTGCACACGCTTATTGTAACCTCAAACTACAAATTAAACCCGGTTGTACACCGATACCAGTCTTTTTTCACAATTTACAAAATTACGACGCGCATTTAATCATGCAGGGAATGACAGAATACGATAGTCAAACAGAAATACAAGTGATCGCTAAAAATTCAGAAAAGTATATTTCGTTCTCGATAGGAAATCTACGATTTTTAGACTCGTTTAGTTTTATGGCATCGTCGTTGGATAAATTAGTGAAAGCTTGCCCAAAAGAGTCGTTTCAGCTACTCAAAAAGCATTTTAAACATCCTGACTTGCTATTACAAAAAGGAATTTATCCCTACGAATATATGAACTCGTTTGATAAGTTTCAAGAGACCAGCCTACCACCCATCGGCAAGTTTTACAGCAGACTAAAAGACGAACATATATCGCAACAAGACTACGACAGAGCTCAACGCGTGTGGAACGAGTTTAATATACAAAATCTAGGAGAATATCACGACTTGTACGTGACGACCGATACGTTATTACTTGCAGGCGTATTTGAAAACTTTAGAAGAACGTGCATTACAAACTACGGGTTAGATCCAGCCAATTATTTTACCGCACCCGGATTGTCGTGGGATGCTCTATTAAAACACTCGGAAGTTAAACTCGAACTATTGCAAGACGTAGACAAACATTTATTTTTTGAAAAAGCAAAACGAGGAGGCATATCGAGCGTGGGTGGAATGAGACATCACAAAGCCAATAATCAATATCTCGATGACTACGATTCAAACAAACCCTCGAGTTATATCGCTTATCTGGATGCCAACAATCTGTACGGTTGGGCTATGAGTCAATATCTACCGTACAGCGATTTTAAATGGACACCCTCGAAACCGTTTACCGAAGAAAGAATATTAACGCTTAAGAAAACGTCCAACACCGGTTATTTTTTCGAAGTAGACCTCGATTACCCGCACGATCTACACGCAAAGCACAACGATTATCCCCTAGCGCCAGAAAACATCGTCATACCCCAAGCTTGGATGTCTGATTATCAAAATGACTTATTGGATACCGAACCTAGTAGCGACGTACAAAAATTAACGTGTACGCTTAATCCA